AAGAGGCAGAGGAAGAGGAATAATATGCAGAAGAAGAAGAAGCAGAAGCAGAAGCAGAAGCAGAATCAGAAGCAGAAGCAGAAGCAGAAGCAGACGCATAATCAGACGCAGAAACAGAAGCAGAAGCAGAAGCAGAAGCAGAAGCAGAAGCAGAAGCAGAAGCAGAAGCAGCAGCAGCAGAAGCAGAAGCAGAAGCAGAAACAGAAGAAGCAGAATACGCAGAAGAAGACGAAGAAGACGAATAAGAAGACGAATAAACAGAAGAATAACAATACGAAGAAGAAGACAAATACTAATAATAATAAGAATAAGAAGAAGACTCATAATAATAATAATAAAAAGAAGAATAAGACGAAGAAGACGACGAAGAAGAAGAAACATAATAATAAGAAGAAGAATAATAATAATAAGAAGAAGCAGAAGCAGACGCAGAAGCAGAATCAGAAGCAGAAGCAGAAGCAGAAGCAGAAGCAGAAGCAGAAGCAGAAGCAGAAGCAGAAGAATAATAAGAAGAAGACGCTCCAGAATAAGAAGAAGAATAATAGTAAGAACAATAAGAAGAATAATAATACGAAGAAGAAGACTAAACAGAACAATAATAATAATAATGATAATAATAATAAGAAGAAGAATAATAAGAATACGAAGAGTAATACGACGAATACGAAGAAGAATAATAAGAATAATACGACGAATAATAATAACAAGAATAAGAAGAGGAAGAAGACGAAGGAGAAGAATAATAAGACGAGGAAGAAGAAGAGGAAGCAAAAGACGGATAATAATAAGAATACGAAGAAGAAGAATACGAAAAACAAGAAGAATAATAATAAGAAGAAGAACAGGAAGAAGAAGACGACGCATACGAATAATAATAATAAGAATGCGAAGAAGAAGCAGACGCAGACGAAGAAGACGAAGAAGCAGAAGCAGAAGCAGAAGCAGAAACATAAGCAGACGCATAATAATAGTACTAATAAGACGAAGAAGAAGAAACATAATAATAATACGAATAATAAGAATACTAAGAAGAAGACGAAGAAGAAGACGACTAAGAATAAGAAGAAGAAGAATAATATGAATAAGAAGAATAATACTAATAATGAGAAGAAGCAGAATAAGAAGAAGAATAAGAAGAATACGAAGAAGAATAACACGAAGAAGAATAATAATAATACGAATACTAAGAAGAATACTACTAATAATAAGAATAATAAGAATAAGAATAATAATACTAATAAGAAGAATAATAGTAATAAGAAGACGACTAATAATAATAATAATAATAATAATAATACTAATAATAATAATAATAGTAATAACAAGAATAAGAATGAGAATCATACGAATAATAATACAACTAAGAATAAGCAGAATAATAAGACGAATAAGAATAATAATAATAATAAGAAGAATAATAATAATACGAAGAATAATAAGAAGAAGAATACGAATAATAATAAGAATAAGAATAATAAGAATAAGAATAATAATAATAAGAAGAATACGAATAATAAGAATAATAATAATAAGAAGAATAAGAAGAAGAAGAAGAAGAAGAATAAGAAAAAGAAGAAGAAGAATAATAAGAAGAGGAGGAGGAGGAGGAGGAAGAGGAGGAGGAGGAGGAGGAGGAGGAGGAGGACGAGAGGAGGCGGATGAGGAGGAGGAGGAGGCGGAGGAGGAGGAGGAGGAGGAGTGCGGAGGAAGGAGGAGAGGAGAGGGAGGAGGAGGAGGAGGAGGAGGAGGAGGAAGAGGAGGAGGAAGGAGGAGGAGGAGGAGGAGGAGGAGGAGTTGGAGGGGGTAACACGCGGTGGTCGCTACTGGATCTCGCTCTTTGACGCCATCGCTTACGAACTTGAAATCGGTCACCGCCACCGTGGGCGGAGCATAGACGCGTAGCAGCTTGACAAGGGCGTACACTTCAGCCCCGTCAGTATCACTATAAGGAAAGGACGGACCCCGTGGATGATGTCTCGCACACCTAGCGGGTCCTCAGGATGCAGCGTGACGATCACCCACCCCCCCCAGAGCTCACTGCACTTGCTGGCGAGGAAACCTGTCCAGCAGCATTTTAAAACTTTCGGGCAAAGGGGACCTGTCGCTTTCGCCAAAACCCCGCGAGAAGTAAACTACGTCTCAGGTTTCGTCGAGGAGCGCACTGGATTGCGCGAGTCGGCGCGGCCGTGCATTCGCTCGACACCGTCCCGCTGAAACATGGGGCCATGACCCCGAGTAAGGGCCCTGGGGGCCTGGTGGTTTTCCCGAAGGTCTGTCATGAGCTGCTCGGGCCCCCAGGGGCTAAGTGGTGCGTGAGGTGTCGAGTGTCAGAACCATCGTCCACGGAATGTCGTGGGTCGGTGGTCTCCAGGGCCGTGGAGACCAACAGAGTGCTGCGAGATGGAGGGTGTTTGGCTCACAGGCTGCTGGTGCACGGTCGCACCCCAGCCAATCACGATCGCACCGGTTTTGCGGATTGTCGCGTGTGTAAGTTGTGGAGCGGCGTTCGCACGCTAGATCAAGAGCAGACAAGTCCTGGGGTCCATGGCCGACGCACCATTCGGGCGTTGAAGGACAGTTTTTCGCTCCATATTCCCAGGCGAAAGTCGCGACCACAACCGTCGCGGCTCAGTAGGGTGGGGCACAGACGTGGTCCGCCTGTTGATGCGTAGCGCTGAGAAGTTGGAAAGGGGAGGAGGAGGAGGAGGAGGAGGAGGAGGAGGAGGAGGAGAAAGAGGAGGAGGAGGAGGAGGAAGAGAAGGGGGAGCAGGAGGAGGAGGAGGAAGAGGAGGAGGAATAATAGTAATACTACTACCATGCAAATAATAATCATACTGCTATCACTAAGAGTAGTAGTCATACGAAGAATATTGATATTTCTAATAATAAGACTAATGATAGTAAGAAGAAGACGAATAGGCATACTACTAATAATTATTTGAAGAAGAATGATAATACTAATACTAAGCATAACACTACTACTACTTATAATAATACTACTAGTAATATTAAGAATACTAATGCAATTCATAATAATAAGATGAGGAGGCGGACGGATGAGGGAGGAGAGGGAGGAGGAGGAGGAGGATGAGGAGAAGTAGGAGGAGGAGGAGGAGGGGGAGGGGGGGCGGGGTAGGAGGAGGGCGGAGGAGGGAGGAGGGGGAACGGGGGGGGTGTATGAGAGGCAGAGGGAGGAGGAGGAGGAGGCGGAGGAGGAGGAGGAGCAAAAGGATAATGGTATATGTGTTTATGCATATATATATATATATATATATATATATATATATACACAAGTGGCACGTGTGTACCCAGGCTCATATAAAACAAGCTGTAAGGGCGTCTGAAGCAGGAGAACAGGAGGAGGATAGCTGCTGGGAGTGAAATGCAGGTCGCACTCGAGCGCAAGTGGGGTTGCCACACCTTGCGACGTGTGTACCAGGGCCCCCCAGGAAGCCTCAGGAGGCCCGACTTGGATACCGGAAGAGGCTCCAGGAGGCCCCAGGATTGTGAGTGTTGTGTGTGTGTGTGTGATGTGTGTGCTCTGTGTTGTGCGTGTTTTCTGTGCGTTGTAGGTGTTGTGTGTGTGTGTGTGTGTTATGTTTGTCTAGCGTGTGATGTGTTGGGTGTGATTTGTGTCTCTGTGTGTGCATGTAGTTCTGAGGCCCCAGGAGGCCCCAGGAGGCCCCAGGCGGCCTCAGGAGGCCCCAAGAGACCCCAGGAAGTCCCAGGAGCCCCCCAGGAGGCTCCAGGAGGCCGCAGGAGGCCCCAGGAGGCCCCAGGAGGTTCCAGGAGATCCCCAGGAGGCTCCGAGGCGGGGTCTGGGGTACCAGAAGGTACAGAATGCCCCAGGAGGCCCCAGGAGGTTCCAGGAGGCTTCCAGGAGGCTCCGAGGCGGGGTCTGGGGTACCAGAAGGTACGACGGGGCTCGATTTTGGGAGGACGTCTCAGGCGAAACTGCCATTCTCTGAGAATCGGGGTCAACATTCTTGAAATTACAATGTGTTTTTGAAGGTTTTATGTTATACGGTTGAAATTCCAATGTGTTTTTGGACCCTGACGTCACGATCTGTGTGAGGGGTGCCACCGAATTTCAGAATTTCGAGGATGTCCCAAGCGAAACGGCCAGACAAATCGCGAACGACGCGGCGCGTACGCATTCATCGCCTCTGAACTTTACTCCCTCGGAGAGGTGCGTATGATACTATGTATGTATGTGTGTATATATATATATATGACGATATGTACAGATATTCCCCGAGTGCCTAGTGGCGAACCATATCATCCCGCCCTCCTGCCCCTCCTCCACCTCTTTCTATGCTTCCTCTTCTTCGGGTTCTTGCTTCTGCTGGTGGTGGTGTGTCTGCTCCTCTTCTGTTTCTTACTCTGGTCTGCTAGTTGGGACCACCGCTCAATGGGAGGGTTTTTAGCTCGACAGAGATCTGAACAGTAAGCGAGGCTCGTATCAGAAAGCTACCGCAGGCTCTTCGCGGTGGTCGCTTTCATGAACTTCGTCGTGACCCCTGCAATGATCATCTTCGATCTACTCGCAGGAGAGGAGACACAAGAGGATGAGGAGGCGGAGTCGGATCATATGGAAATTGAGGTTGCCTGACATTCTCGAGTCTTTGGCGATCAGCATGGCGCATGGACCATATGATTGTGCCCCTAAGACTGCAACGCGTCCAGCGGTGCTGGCCCTGGACGCAGTTTTTTGTTGAGGTTCTGAATGCTTTGCGTATCTGTGCTGCCCCCTCCACTTTTTGAGCCTCCACTCCTCGTCCGGCCTCTTCATGCTTCTGATCTAACGCCTTTGTTCTTGCTCCCAGTTCTTGCGTGTCCCTCCCCCTTCCCCTTCCTCCTCATACTTTCCACCTACCCTTCCCCCTGTCCCTACCCTTCGGCTCGCTTCTCTGCGGTCCGTGAGGCGAGGCGCCACTTCGGCATGGGCTGTGCACTGCTATCCCCCGTGCTGGCACGGGGCTGCCGCTAGTGCCCCTCGTGCAGAGGTGCCGAGCTGCTCAGGCGAGGGCCCCCCCCACGATTCCTCTCTAGTTCGACCCACATCGGTCTCCTGTGGAGCGCCGCCGCCGCTTCCCGCTCGCCTTGCCCCATCCCCCGCCCCCCGTCCTCATGCGTGCCCCGTTGGGGCCCCTCTTGGAGTTCCAGGTCGACCATCACGCGCGCCCGCGGATGGAGAAACATTCAGCGCCGTGGGAAGGTACAGGGGGGGAGGGATGATGGGCCTGTTTTCCACCACCACCACCACCGTAAGTTGGCGGGGGAGGGGTCCTCCTCCTCTTCTTCTTCCTCCTCCTCGTCCTCCTTCCCCCCTCCAACTTATGGTGGTGGTGGTGGTGATGGAAAACAGGCCCATCAAGGGAGAGGGATGTCAGATGTGGCGCGAGTGCACCCAGCTTGCCCGCCCCCCCTCTTCCCTTCGATCCGACGTTGCAACACAACTTGCAGCAGCGCTCAACAGACCCACGACCGGAGCCCTGGACCCCATCCTTCTGCGCAACTTTTCGAGCCGGATCGATCTGTACGGGTCCCGTGTCCGCCCCCTGGGGTCCTTCAGCTCAGCGATTTGGCCCCTGAGCGTCTCCGACTCCATGGCGACTGGGGATGCGAGGATTACTGAACTGATGGAGTTCGGTATACCAGGACACCGAAATCCATCAGTTCAGTAATCTTCGCCTCCCCAGTCGCCATGGAGACGCACAAGCGCCAGATCGCTGATCTGAAGGATCCCAGTGTGCGTACCGTGGCCCGACACCAGGCGAACATGTTCGTTGTGAGCAGATTGCAACGCCCAGATCTGAGGGCCCCTCTTCCCTCTCCGCTCCCCGTGCCTCCCCCTCCGCTCCAGGAGGAGGGAGGAGGAGGAGGAGGAGGGAGGAGGGAGGAGGAGAAGGAGGACACGGAGGAGGAGGAGGCGGAGGAGGAGGAGGTGGAGGAGGCGGAAGAGGAGGAGGAGGTGGAAGAGGAGGAGGAGGAGGAGGAGGATCTGTTTCGGGGTCAGGCCTCGTCAGAAGCACCCCAGCTCCCGCTGGCAGGCCAAGTGGCGGGTCCAAAAACGCAAGGGGCGCCGGCCGCTCGCCACGCTGCGGCGAGGGCGGGGTGTGGGGGTTCGCGGCAGCCTCTCCGAGCAGGCGCCCGAGCGGGAGGAGGAGGGGCGGCCTCCTCCTCCTCCTCCTCCTCCTCCTCCGCCTACACCTTCCCCTCCCCCATCCTCCCCCTCCTCCTCCCCGTTTCCTCCTCCTTCTGCTCCTCCTTCTTCCTCTTCCTCCTCCCAGGTTGGCTCCCTCCCTCCTGCTCTTTCGCTGCCTTTAACCACGCAGCATTTTGCCCCGGCGGCGGCGCGGCGGCGGCTCGCGCAATACGGGAGCCCCCAGGCCCACGGAGGGCCGCCGAGGCCAGAAGCGGCCTCCCTCGCCCGCGTGGCACCGCAGGGAGCGGCGCCTCCGCGCCGAGTCCAGGCGCCGCCTGCGAGCGGACGCAGACAGACGCAGACTGGCACGGCACCACGGGAGCAGCCCGCCGTGGCGCGCAGAGGCGGGTCGCAATGCTCCGTGTGCCGCAGCTGCAACAAGTGGACCTACGACAGCACGTTGGCCAAGAATGGTTGGAAGTGCTGGCACTGCAATAAGCTGGTCAGGAAGCCGTACTACATCAAGGAGCAGGAGCGCCAGCAGGGCGGCGAGACCAGCAGCGGCAGCAGCAGCAGCAACCAGCCCCAGACGCAGGAGATGACGAAGATGATGACGACATTGGCTCAGCAGCTCCAGCAGATGGGCTTGGGTGCCAATGCAGCGGTGACAGCGCTGGGCACACAGTTGACGACACTCGCCCAAACGCTCCAGCCCCTGCAACCTCAGCAACCTGCATAACTAAGATGCACGGCAGCGGCGAAGGCGCATGAGGTGGCCTACAACGAGTTCCACAAGGCCTGCGACGAGCGCAGCCGTCTGCAGGGCCAGGTCGCGAAGGCGTACGAGGACATGATCGAGAAGGGCAAGGCACTCGAGCGGGCGAAGGCCAACCTGAATGAGTGATGGAGGGCGAGCCGAAGAGCCTCATGGAGCAGCTCTTGCGCTCCTCCGAGCACGAGCTGCAGCAGAACGGTGTCATCGACCTGGACGTCGAGGACATGCTGCAGGGCGACGAGGACGAGGAGCTGAAGATGGAGATCCTGGCGGCCAAGCAGGCGGCCATCAGGGACCTGCAGACAGGAGCGCAGACCTACGCGGGCCAGATCAAGGCGCGCATAGACGAAGCCAAGGAGAAGGCCATCGCCGACGCAACGAGGCTCAGGGAGGCCAAGAAACGCAAGACAGCGGACAAGCAGCAACAGCAGCAGCAGCAGACCGCAGCAGCGGCAGCATCCTCAGCAGCTTCGGCAAGCACACCGTCGAGTGCGCCAGCGCCGTCGCCCGCTGAAGGGACCCCTACAACACCAGAGTAGCGAGATGAACTCCTCCGCCAGATCCGCGAGGGGAAGTTGTCGGCCGCTGTACCTGTACCCAACTAGAAGCAACTGCGGGGTGGCATGATGGCCAACCGCTCGGCCGCCCCAGAGCAGTGATCAATATTTGTTGGCAATTATTTGTTGGCAATATTACTAGCCGGCCGCTCTGCGGTTGATCGGGAGTTTCTGTATATAGAAGAAGGTGCGTGCGCCTGTTGGCGAGGGTGAGGATGAGGTTCCTCCTCCTCCTCCTCCTCCTCCTCCTCCTCCTCCTCCTCCATCCTTCTCTTGCCTCCGTCTGTCCTCCTCCGCCCCACAGCTCCATCATCTTCTCCTCCTCCTCCTCCTCCTCCTCCTCCTCCTCCTCCTCCTCCTCCTCCTCCTCATTCCTCCTCTGGGCACCTCCCCCGGGGCGCGGATCCACCGGATCTGTCCGGATCTGTCCGGAAACGGTGCCGGAGGCCGCTCTGGGCTCCTCTGGGCACCTCCCCCGGGGCCGGTTTTGTGAGGATGTTTCAAGCGAGGGCGCCGGTTTGGGATTCGTCGGCGGATCCACCGGATCCAGCGGATCTGTCCGGAAACGGTGCCGGAGGCCGCTCTGGGCTCCTCCGGGCACCTCCCCCGGGGCCGGTTTTGTGAGGATGTCTCAAGCGAGGGCGCCGGTTTGGGATTCGTCGGCGGATCCGCCGGATCCACCGGATCTGTCCGGAAACGGTGCCGGAGGCCGCTCTGGGCTCCTCTGGGCGCCTCCCCCGGGGCCGGTTTTGTGAGGATGTCTCAAGCGAGGGCGCCGGTTTGGGATTCGTCGGCGGATCCAGCGGATCTGTCCGGAAACGGTGCCGGAGGCCGCTCTGGGCTCCTCTGGGCACCTCCCCCTGGGCCGGTTTTGTGAGGATGTCTCAAGCGAGGGCGCCGGTTTGGGATTCGTCGGCGGATCTGTCCGGAAACGGTGCCGGATTCGTCGGCGGATCTGTCCGGAAACGGTGCCGGAGGCCGCTCTGGGCTCCTCTGGGCACCTCCCCCGGGGCCGGTTTTGTGAGGATGTCTCAAGCGAGGGCGCCGGTTTGGGATTCGTCGGCGGATCCACTGGATCCACCGGATCTGTCCGAAAACGGTGCCGGAGGCCGCTCTGGGCTCCTCTGGGCACCTCCCCCGGGGCCGGTTTTGTGAGGATGTCTCAAGCGAGGGCGCCGGTTTTGGGATTCGTCACCGGATCCAGCGGATCCAGCGGATCCAGCGGATCTGTCCGGAAACGGTGCCGGAGGCCGCTCTGGGCTCCTCTGGGCACCTCCCCCGGGGCCGGTTCTGTGAGGATGTCTCAAGCGAGGGCGCCGGTTTGGGATTCGTCGGCGGATCCACTGGAACCACCGGATCCACCGGATCTGTCCGGAAACGGTGCCGGAGGCCGCTCTGGGCTCCTCTGGGCACCTCCCCCGGGGCCGGTTTTGTTTGTGAAGGATGTCTCAAGCGAGGCGGCGGGTTTGGGGTTCGTGTTCGGCGGATCCACCGATCCACCGGATCTGCCGATCTGTCCGTAAACGGTGGCGGTAGGCCCTCTGCAGCCTCTGGGCAACTCCCCCCAGGGCCGGTTGTGGGAGGACTCAAGCGAGGGCGCCGGTTTTGGATCGTCGGCGCCACCGGTCCACCGGATCCACCGGATCTGTCCGGAAACGGTGCCGGAGGCCGCTCTGGGCTCCTCTGGGCACCTCCCCCGTGGGCCGGTTTTGTGAGGATGTCTCAAGCGAGGGCGCCGGTTTGGGATTCGTCACCGGATCCAGCGGATCCAGCGGACCGGATCTGTCCGGAAACGGTGCCGGAGGCCGCTCTGGGCTCCTCTGGGCACCTCCCCCGGGGCCGGTTTTGTGAGGATGTCTCAAGCGAGGGCGCCGGTTTGGGATTCGTCGGCGGATCCACCGGATCCACCGGATCCACCGGATCTGTCCGGAAACGGTGCCGGAGGCCGCTCTGGGCCCCTGTGTTCCCCGCGCCAGGGGTGAGGATGACGGTAGTTCCACAGAAACTCCCTCAAACTACATGGGGACTAAGGTAACTAAGTGGCTCCGGGATGGTCTACTAGCGCACCGA